ACTGTTAATTAAATATAGTTTATTTATTAGAATAAGTAAGCATTTCGGATAAGTAAGCATTTTAATCAAGCCCTGTTGATGATAACTATATTATCTAAATTAGTGGGCTGGAGCAACTAATAAATAATTTATTGTGTTTATTTTTTTTACTTTTAATATTACTTGGCTCATTAGGAGTCATTTCTGACATTCTATAATTTGGTATTACTTTTTGCAGATATGTCTTTTGTTTTATTATTATGTTACTACAAATTTATTTACCAGTACGTTGAAATACGTTTACATCAACACTTGTCATCTTAATACACAGTGAAACTCGTTCACTGCTAAAACGACAAAAAAACTTATTTAAAATATATTCCATATATAACTTACTATGTAAGTATTTAGATATCTCAAAACTTATAAATGAACCACTTCTTGGCATCATAAAATACTATACTTTGACAAATTATATTTTGCGAACTATATAACTAGATTCAATAATAAAAAGTATCTTGACAACATTCACAATGTTTGAGCACTACATGATTGTTATCTAAAAAATGGAATGTTGAACTGAAAGTAGAAGCTAAGTGTATGACCGAAGAGGCGTAAAGGTGCTACAAGATTATTCCACTACTGGAAACGTTACACAGAGCTGTGCGTAATCTAGTGTTTAGTATGTAGGGCTGTGGACCTAAAGATCCAAGATGGGAGAGGAGATACGCCGCTGAACGCGTTCCACCTTAAAGATGTCACAGTCAGTTCTACTATTCGGTTAATGGTAGCTCCATAGGCTGAAGGTGTTTCCATCTGGTTGCCCTTCCTCTGATCAGCAGCTCCAAATTTTAAGGATAGCTGTGCTTGGATACTGGGGGCTCTGACTTGGCCGCATGACGCACGTGTGGTGCATAAAGTGCCATTCATGTTGAAAACACTAAATACCGGAAACTTTACGTAAATCTTACTCATTTTATCCATCACATTTTACTTTATGTTTTAAATACAGTATAAAATATGTTATTATTGAAACTTTTCTGGAGTTTAAAGGAGAGCGTTTTCTGAAGTTCTTAAAAGTATGCTTAAAAATTCTAAAAAACTATGATGATGAACAAGAACAAAACTTTGATTCCAAATTATAAATATTCATATAGGATAAAAAACGATATCCCAGAGCAACAAGCATACTTTCTAAATCCAATTACTGTTCATTTAACAATGAACAAATGACTCATTGTGATGTACCTTGATATAAAGCTAATAACGACAAAACTATTAACATTCTTAAGAAATTATAAGACAAAATCTTGATCAAATAATAACAGAATAAGAGTCTGATACTAAGGTAATAGACGAACCTCTTATACTACTGGAATATATATATTTTCTTTAAAGTTTTGGGATATAAGCTCATGACCTAAAGCGAATATAAAATCCATAGGAAAAACAAGGTTTAGTGTCCGACATAGAATTATTGTAGTTTGCCTGTTACTCATTATTTGCCCCCCAATGGCACATCGGTACATCTACGGACTTACAACCCTAAAAATCGGGTTTCGATACTCGTGGTGGGCAGAGCACAGATTGTCCATTGTTTAGCTTTGTGCTAATTACTAAGAAACAAACACCCATAATTAAGACGGTTTATTAGTAATTATTATTGTAGAATTTTAGCAGTTATTCTGGTTGAAGTTATTACAAAAATGGATAAGGATAATTTACTTATAATCATCAAAAGTATTAATAGAAATATGTTGTTGATTTTTTTCTATAAAACATGTATAGAAATAGATTGATTTATAAACGATGTAACAAAATATATTATATGTAGAATTATACACGGTCTTTTATCTACGTTAAAATACTTTTATTTGCTAGCTTTCGGCACTTTTACCGTAGCCTTCATCGTGGGTTAAATGAACATTTATCGCTCAGTATATTGTTGCCCGCTGAAGGCTCCGGTAAGAGGGCCGAAAACTCGCAACCTCGAGAAAAATCCATGTATATTTCTACATATTAATTTACTTAAGTTATGAGTTATAAAAAAATAAATTATATTTTATAGCTATGTAAATTATTAGATACATCCAAGCATAACGGCAAACTTTCTGGTCGGTATATTCAGCGTCAACGACATATTTAACATTTCATTATTCAAAAAAGGTTTTTGCGTTTTTGGCACACTCATAAAAGTACGACCGCTTACAGGGTAGGATCTTTAGAATGGTGAAAAATATTGTATTCAAATCTATTACAGAAGACTAATTCACTTGTAAATCTTCTAACAAAGATAAAACTCAAAATGAAGCCAATACAGAACTTCATGCTATCACAAGCTTAAGCACATTCTTTAGTGCAGTGACGTCATATTGTGTATAACAAACAACCTATAATTCCATGGATAATTAACACCAGGCGTTCATAAATTACACAGGCCTGCGATGGTTTTATTGTTTTGAAATTTTTAAATGTTCTACAGTAATTCCTGTAAGCTGAATCCGCAAATGATATCCATTTTTCTCCATCACGTAAAGTTTTTCACAAAACATCATAACGCAATACATAAAAGAAAAACAACAACACGTAGTTTTGGGACTACAAGACGTAGATTTCACACACACAAAAAAATCAGGATGAATGAGGATGCATATTTGTTTGCCATCAATGTTCTTCTCTTTTCTTCACTTTGTTTGTAATTTTGTTAACAAACATAATAATAAAAAATGTTCATTGTGGTAAACGAAATAATAATTTAATCTGAGTAAGAGTTTTTTTTCTTCCCGATTTGTAAAAAAATCTTTACGTGATAGCAAAATCTGCGTAGCTGAATTATGGAAAATCCGTTATTAAAACCAAAACAACTTTTATGAAGTTTAAATTCGCAGGTTTATGTTATCAATATTAAGCAATCTCGCTCTCTTTTTCGACAGGATATGTCAAAATACAAAGACGTAACACGAATATTTATCTGAAACTTATCATTTTTTCGAACCCTGTGCGAGATTGCATAGTGTATTTCAGTTTACGCTTATCTAACCGTTCATGATACGAAGCTAGTTCAAAATATAGGAATTTTCATATAGCGACATCTACGTCTTCAAAGTTATGATTAAGCAGTCTTTTTAATCAACACGTCAAATGATAATAACTGATGTTATCTAGAATGCTACACATAAAGGCAGATAGTTAATGATTCAAACAACAACATAAAAGTGTTTTCGCTGTTATTTATTTTATTTTGTTTAGAGGCGCAAAAAATCACGAAATAGTTAGTTTGTGATCTTAGACGTCTTAAACATAGTTTATCTCTGAAGAGGATTGATAATAGAGCTTTTTTGACAAAACTAAATGTGTTATTAACGATAAACCCAAGCCATACTGTTATATATATATGTGTGTGATTTTATCAGCCTTTGAAACATTAGGTTTTAAACATGGTGGAACACTCACACCTGAGAACACTAAATGTCTTAACTTAATTTTATAGATAACTGTATTAAAAAGCACTCGCTGTTGTGTATGATGTATAATGATGGGTAAGTAGGAGAAATATATATGCATTTAAACCGGTTTCTTTTTTTCAACTTCATCACAATCAAATATTTCTCGTTGACACCATAATCAAAAGTACCCGTCCCCAGTGACGGGAAAAAGTTTAAGTTAGTCTATCAATTTAAAGTTCTGATCCACTTATACCGCCAACCGAGAAAAGTAATTGTTGAGCATTTCAGTCACGCTAAGAGCCGCTCAACAATAACATACGGTAAATCTACATTTTTATTCTTTAAGTTACGTCACATTTTGAAATGTGAATGATAATGTGATAACTTCCTAACAATTTAGTGTAGAATATCCTGTTTGTGAAATAAAATTTGGCATCAACATTATCCATGCCTGTTCTCCCATCATTTCAAAAGCGAATGTTGAGCTTTGCCTGCGTGCGCAGCTTTTCAAACGTGAGACAGAAGAATGAACGCTCGGACAAACACCACAGTTCGCAATATATATATAAGATAGTTATATCACGGTATAATATTCAACATTCGCGAGACTTGTGAAACCAGCATTTGTACTCAACTGATGAAACAGCGTATTCTAATCATTGATAAAACAAAAGATCTTGATCATTGCACACTTATAAGTAGACTGATATATCAAATTCGGTATATTAATTAGTGGGCTGAATTTTAATCCTGATATATGTAGGCAGATTGTTTTGACCAGAAATTAGTAATAGGTACCAGAAAGTCGCTATAAAAGATAATAGTGCATAACAACAGGTATACATTATACCAGAAAGTCGCTATAAAAGATAATAGTGCATAACAACAGGTATACATTATACCAGAAAGTCGCTATAAAAAATAATAGTGCATAACAACTATAATGTATACCTGTTGGCCTCAGACTTGGGCTACAATAACTCTTCAGGTATTGTTAGGTCGCTAACAGATAATCCACGTGAGCCTCAGACTTGGGCTACAATAACTCTTCAGGTATTGTTAAGTCGCTAACAGATAATCCACGTGAACCTCAGACTTGGGCTTCAAATGCCACAAAATTTACAAAAATTCAAAACTTCCAGTGATACTTTCCTTGTATTACCATCTAGGAATATAGTGTTTGAAACTTCGTTTAGATTAGATACATCATTTTAGAATGTTAGATTATTCATATTATAAAATCGCGTTTATATAAAAACAATTTCATAAAGTCACAGTATAAAAATGAAGCTGTTTGAAAATACAGTTTTCATAATAACAACATTTGTATTAGCCTATGTTTTCCCGGTACATTTACATCGTATTGACTCTTTTTGTTTCTCATTGAGCGTTAACCACATTTAATAAGAACGATATTCTATGTTCTGTGCTGCTCTAGGAATTATTTCCTTCGTCATCGATCGTATTCGGTCTGATGGCATGGCTACGCACTATTGCTCGACACTACAAGTTTCATTGTAACAAGCTTCTGTGAAGGACAACAAGGTCATTCTCAAAATATACATCTTTACAAACTTTCCATAGACCATCCGCTACACGTGAACGCCGGTCTCTACGATCACGTTTTAGTAGACCGAAGGAACAAATGTTTATTGGAGCTCTCTTGGAGCTCTTCACAAGTATGTGGCCAAATGGGATTCCTGTAATTCCAATGTCTTCGGCCATATTTTCAGGTAACTAGTCGTTCAGTTCGAAATGTGGCTTCAAGCTTTTGAAGTTTTTGTCTATGAGCCTCTGCTAACTTAAATCCTCTATGAGCCTTTGCTAACTTAAAGCCTCGTTTGTTATCTTCTTAACGGTATCAGAAAATATATGTCTATCTTCATCGCAATGGCTTTTATGGATGGTTCATTTCCTTAACCATAGCCTTCACTTGGTGTGTGATGTTTTGAAGCCCTTTGTTGTTCTAAGTATTCTTGTGCACGAATTTAATAATCTCACTGTAATAAACCTAGCTTTCTCAGAAACGTCTGTAACATAATCTTACAGTGGTGGCATTGCATTGTCCAATGATCAAGAATTCTCCAATAATCAATTTTATATGTACTAAACATGTCACTCATAACACCATGGTCCGCGTCTGGGGCGATTGCTTACACTTTAGTATACACAAATCGTTCTTATGCGATTAATCCTCTTTACTCAAAATGTTTAGCATCTTCAGAGTCCATTTAAAAAGAATATTATTTCCAAATACTTTTTCAAAGTTCTTACAGGACATTTTAATGCCAAAAAGTAAAAATGATGTTTTAAAAATGTTTCAAGGTAAATATTATTTCCAAAAAAAAAGAAGCCAATAAATATTTTCTGTTCAAAAGTCTACTTTGAGATAAAACAACACAATCACGTGGGTAACAGTTAAAAAGTTAGTGAAAATATCCATCGTAAATGGAAAAACTGTCAGGAGACTTGATAAGTTATTTAGTTTACTGTGATGTTTTTCACTAACTATTTAACTCTGTGATATTTAATTGCATTAACAATTGTAAGATATTTTAGTCTACCACAGAAACTTGGTATAAAACTTGGTAATAATAATAAATTGTTAAAACAACTATTTTAATGCATACGTGTTTGTCCACACTTTATTTGTATCAAGACTTTTGAAAATTTAGGTACTTCCTATGTGTTATATTAAAATTATTTTACAGTTCATAGTAACCAAATTATTGATATTCATTGACATAATAAGAATTCTAGTGAGACATTCAGAAGAAATATTGGGTATGATAATAAATGTTTTGAATTAACCGTATGTTTCGAAATAAACTATAAAAAATACACTCTTAATCTTCGGTTTTGTTGTCCCGTGACACACGAAAATTTACAAGTCATAGCTTTTGGTCTCTGTAACTTAAATATTTCCAAAATATTCTCCAGCAATTTATTTTGTTTTAATAACTTGAGTAATTGGTTATGGGAATAAATCATTCTATAAATAAACCAGTTTTACGCAGTTATCCCCTTACGACAAAACAGAGGGTTAAGTACGTTATATTTAAACGATTTTGAATACCAAAAATTAGCAAATCACAAAACAACCACAGCCGATATAAAGTCGTGGTGGAACGACAGGTATTAGAACTTTATTTTGAAATTATTTGGTTATGTAGGCAGTGTGGTGCTACATAAGACTGATCGTTTTTCGGAAGAGTATGTAGCAGCTGTTTCCGACGTAAAATATTCATACACCCAGGTAATAAAGATGTGTTAAGATTGTGGATTTATAATTTCCAAAAAGGGAATATTTCTTGTTGTTAGTACTTAATAACATTGATAAACAAAGGAATATGGATCAACTTGAGAACTCAGGACCATCAAGAAAGAGACCTTCAACAATTCATATCTCAGTCATTACATTCAAAGTGCGGCATATTGTAACAGGATCCATTAATTCAAAGGTTGGGGGAAAAGCCGTCCACTTCCTCCAGGCAACAGTATGCAACATAGTCGAGAAAGATATCTCGACACATAGCTACCCGACCTACTTGATAATATGATATACTATCAAGAATAAAGTGGGACACATAACTACCCCACCTGCTTGATAATATAACATACTATCAAGAATAAAGTGGGACACATAATTACCCCACCTGCTTGATAATATAACATACTATCAAGAATAAAGTGGGACACATAATTAACCCATCTGTTTCATAATATAACATACTATCAAGAATAAAGTGGGACACATAATTAACCCATCTGTTTGATAATATTACATATTTGTCAAAAATAAAATGGATCTGTTTAATTCCAAAATCATGAAACTTGTAATATATGTATTTAGAAATCAACTGTACTGTTTCCTCATCCTTGAGCGAGAATCAAATGTAAGCTGTATTACTTCAATTAATGGAATATTGCTGTGCAGAGGCATAACAACAAAGAAGCGAGATGATATACCACCTTCATTGTATACAAAAACAATATTTCTTTTATATACTGATATTGATTTTTTTTAATATAATTTAGTATAAGTATGCCTACTGGCACCAGTTATTGTGAAATTTAAGAAATGTGGTACAACTGATGAAAGGGAGTGTAATATAATTAGAGTCGTGGGTTCACATAGTGGTGTTTTCTTTGGATTGTCCAAGGTTCACAAATTGACTGTCGTTAAGAACCAAATATTATGACGATTTATCATGAACCGGATAACTTTATATTTATTTTTTTGAATAATATAGCTCATGTTAATATACAGCAAAAGACAGCTTTGAATGTTCTTAATTTGAGAAAAAAATAACGTCTTGACACTATGTTTTCATGTACCAATATTCTTTCAGAAGAAGACGTACACTTTACAACTAAACTGCTATTATAAAATATGAAGACAATACAACGGACTCATAAAACTGTGTTTTAGAAGTTTCTTGATCTTCCACTGTCCATCCTGGAGTAGGATGTTATGTGATTAAATCTCAGTAGTTGCAAAGTGTTTGACACTAAATCCTAGTTTTCCAAAATTGTTTCTATGTGAAAAGGGGGAAATCAGTGGTGAAAATGTTTTCTTTAATTCAAAACGTTAATCTATAATAGAACACTTTAAGGAACAGAAACATGTCAAACAGTTTTGCTATAATTAATCTAATTGAATATACTATAAACGTTACTATAGAAGAACGATCGAATTCACATTTTTCTACACCAAAATTATTAGTAAAGGATGTTCTTTTAAGTTAACCATAATCATAAAGATATTTTTTGCTGGTTTGTATTACTCTTATGAAAAAGTTATATGAACAGGGTTTAAAAATAATATAATGCAAATTTCAGTTCACAGATTGTTTAAATTAAAGATTATTATTAGTTATTGTTTTGTATGTGTAGAACGTAAAAGAATTAAACACATTTTACTACAAATAAGTTTTCCTTCTATGTGATACACGGCTTTATTTCTCAGTTCGTATATAGATTTAATATCCCTCAAATGAAATAATCTAGAGTTCAAACAAAATAGCCTAGAGTACCATGCTTGACCAATGATATATCGACTAAACTATAAAAACGCTAGAATATGATATCAAGGTTCACGTCAAGAAGTCTAATGAATTATACCAATGTCTATACGTATGTTAAGTACGTAATAATAAAGAAATACTGCTAAATTCCAGAGGAAAATAATCACTTTAAAATGATCTGCAGTATTAATTATGAACAATCTTTAAGAATTAAGGAAATCCGTCACATAAAACAGTTAAGATTATGTTCGAATGTAAACCAGTCTTTATTTGCACTAATCCCTTCTTAAACAGATATCTATGACTGTCCTGATTTATGTAGTCCTTTTTGAATGTTTTGGGTAAAATATATGTAATTTGTGGAAACTCAATAGCCTAATGATCGATTTTGAATCAGTTATCCTCAGATTCTAAATCAGTTATCCTCAGATTCTGAATCAGTTATCCTCAGATTCTGAATCAGTTATCCTCAGGTGCTAGACAAAAATGTGTTATTATTAGAAAAGAAAATGTCTTACTACATTTACTGGAGGTAGAGTTGAAATTACCATGCTGTCAATGATAATAATATGCCTAAACTTGGGTCGGTCCGTATACTTGATGGATGCTTCAATCAAACGGTTGTCTTACTACATTTACTGGAGGTAGAGTTGAAATTACCATGCTGTCAATGATTATAATATGCCTAAACTTGGGTCGGTCCGTATACTTGATGGATGCTTCAATCAAACGGTTGTATTACTACATTTACTGGAGGTAGAGTTGAAATTACCATGCTGTCAATGATAATAATATGCCTAAACTTGGGTCGGTCCGTATACTTGATGGATGCTTCAATTAAACGGTTATTAAAATATGATGTTCAGCATGAAATATGAACATTAACCAGCATTGTACACATAAGCCATCTCTTCATATTTGGGAGATTACATTTTACCATGCTGGTTGAGATATGAAGAGGTGATAAATGAGGGGAGAACCTGGACGAAACCACCGTTGAAGCCATCTACAACAACAATCTTCCTTTACATCCTGATCTGTTAAGTCCCCTGTGTAAAATATTAGCCGTTTTCAAAGAGAAATTTAGAATTTATTCCCTGATATATTATCGTCGTGTGCCTATTATCAAAAACGTTAGATAAGTACATTACTAGAATTTTCTGCAAAATACAGAAATTGGGGATTAGGAATTCAGCGTATTAAAGTCACAAAGTAACTTCCAAAATCAACAGGAAAAACTTAGAAGTATGACAGCAGTCTTTCTAATTATTGAAGAAAATCAGAACAAGATGAAGAGACTGACAGAAGTAAGCAGTTTATAACACTATACAAAACTATTGCTCCAGAAAAATGGTTGAAAAAATTTTAAGCTTAAATAAAAGTTAAGATAGAAAATCTCGTGTTAATTTCGAGAAAGCAAGGTAGCGCTGGATAAGTTTCAGCGTGGGTTGATTAATTGAATTAGACAACAATCAAGACGGTGTATTGTCAGTAAAATGAATCTCAATCAACGCTCGCCAGTCATTAGCGGTTTCCTCGTAAAATTCAAGTCGATTATAAGATAGGGCTGTTTTGGACCAGGAATTACAGTCATGAATTGGTAAGTAGTTGTAAGTCTACTGTGATGACCAAGATGAAATAAGGTATGCTTTCCTATCTAACATAAATCATGATATGGACTGAAAAAATATTATTTGCCTCAAGCAGTGGGATGAAGTCTGCAAAAATTAAGAAAATTCTTGCTTGTTAAATGTTGTTGTTTGAAATTAAGCACAGAGCTACACAATGGGCTATCTGTGCTCTGCCCACCACGAGTATCGAAACCCGGTTTCTAGCTTTGTAAGTCTGCAGACATGCCGTTGTGCCACTGGGCGGCTACTTGTTAATATTATTATCAGACTATATAATGACTTTATTGACTATACAACAAACTTGATTTGCTCTTAATTTGTACTTAGTTCTAATTTGTTCATTTAAAGCAAACTAATTATGTAGTTTAGTTTAATTAAGCCTAGTAGTTAAGAAACGAAAAGAAAAATGTATTATGGGTCAGCTATCATTGAAACCATACATTAACTAACAGAATTTTATTTTCATTTAATCATGGGGTATTCAGATTCAATTTACAATATCTAACATACTTTTGTTTTCATGTAGTTGTAGTGGTAGTCAGATTTAATTTACAATAACTAATATAATGTTGTTTTCATGTAGTTGTAGTGATAGTCAGATTTAATTTACAATAACTACATAATGTTGTTTTCATTTAGTTGTGGGGTAGTCAGATTCAATTTACAATATCTAACATACTTTTGTTTTCATGTAGTTGTAGTGGTAGTCAGATTTAATTTACAATAACTAATATAATGTTGTTTTCATTTAGTTGTGGGGTAATCTGATTCAATTTATAATATCTAACATACTTTTGTTTTCGTGTAGTTGTAGTGGTAGTCAGATTTAATTTACAATAACTAATATAATGTTGTTCTCATTTAGTTGTGGTGATAGTCAGATTCAAATTCGATGACGAGGAACCCACTTTGAGACTAATAATGGCTGGAGACGGCTTGAATGGGTAATGAAGAAAAACTTTAATATAAGTTTAACATAACAGCAAATGTACAACGTTTCGACAAGGTTTTCTCATCATCAGGACATGTGTATGTTTCGAAAAATAATTTTAGAATTCAGATATGATAATAATTTTCTAAAGATTGAAAAGAAGATTCTTGGGTGTTGTATTTTTGTTTATATCAACGGTAACAGTTAATTATTATGAAACGAATACAATGGATAACGTAATTTAAATGTGAGGTAATTTGTACGCAACAAGTTACTTTAAAGATGCACTTATTAATTAAGAAAGAAACTGAAACTTTTTTTCATTTTATGATTATCAAAAAGAATATAAGTCAAGTGTAAGTAATTGTATAGGATAAGTTTCAACAGGAAATTAACGAACACGAAGAATAATTGGATTCTATAGCATATTTCGACGCACTTGAACTAATAAATATCTTAAGAAACACAACAGCACGCAGACTATCAGAATTTTTCACACTTCACTCACTTTTATTAATAGCATGATAATCGATTAGAATATATTAAATAACATAGAGTGAGTGTAAAGAGAAACCTACAGGCAACAAAGTTAAGGTTAAAAAAAGCCATTGTTATGTTAATGTTGTTTCATGAAGCATATTATATAGGTAAATATATATATATATTAAAATATCTCTCTTTTAATCTGAGCTGTTTGAGAAATATTACAATAAACAGAACATTTGATCATTTGAGGATTTCGGAGCAGATATCATTCTAATGGTCAGCAGGTTAGAAACCTCATCCTCCCAAGTACTTCTAAAACTTGAAGAAACAGAGAAAATGTAAAAAAAAGTAAACTGATAATTTAAGTTGGGATTGAAGAAAAGGTTCGTTTAAAGTTCAGTGTCTTTGGTCAGCACTTCTCTGTAAATAACACTTCAGTGAAGGAGCTCTTGGTTTACCGCAGCAAGGAATTCAACCACAATTGACTTATTTCCTTCGCCACAGCAGGAGAATACTGCCAGAGAACGGCCCTAGAGTGGTCAAGGATACCAAGAAACTAAACAAACCTATACTCCTTCTTCAGTATATTCAGCTTAGATTCAGCTATAATAGCCATTTACATTGCTCCAGACTCTGTTCAAGAACACAGATGATGTTCACAACTACTGATCGTGGTGCAACATCTATATATGTCTCCAGTGTTGATAGAATGGCGGAAAAGAAAAAAAAGCATGAAACTACCATTAAAGACATCAGTGATAGAACAGTCAGATAAGGTGGCGTATCTGCTACCCTCCTTGGAAGTTAACCATTAAATCCAACACTAAAAAATCGTAATCAATATGGTAACAGCTGATCCATGACTAGCATGAACAGCCAGAAGAATATGAAGACCTGACGCTACTTAATCAACTAAAGAAACTTGGATAACAGCAATACATTGGGCCAATAAGAGGCTGCTCAAGGTTAACAGCAGAAACATCCACTGCTGGCAGTTACAATATATATTAGTGTGCATCTTCGTGTGAGAAGTAAGGATCAAACAACCTACAACTAACAGACTTAGGCTGACTAATTCTCCCGTTAAAGGTTTACTAACATTTGCTAACGATATAAAGGCTGGATGAATGACCGCTCTATGTGATATTGTTCTTATAATTTGAGGCGAATACACCTTGGTGATAAATAGTATATAAAAAGTTTATGATATGTAAAAAAATCAACTTTAATTTAATGTGAATAAAAACTGAACTAAAGCTTTAAAAAACTTACTTTTAAGCACATGACAATCTCGTACATTTGGAAACAATTCAGACAAAAGTAATAAACGTTGGGTACGTTCAATAATATATTTATATATGTATGACTACGTTAATAAATTGATTGTGGATCTAGTTATATTACTGTCACCCGGTGGAATAGCGGTAAGTCTACGGATATGCAACATTAAAATGAGGGTTTCGATTCCTCTCTATCGTCACAGCAAACAAGCCGATGTGGCTTTGTTATACCAAAAACACAGTTCTATTATGTTCAATTATTTATCTTTATAACAGAAGCAAAATAGCGGTTTTCTCTAAGCTATGCACCATGCGTGTTTAACACTATGATAAAAAAGTTAATCCAGGATAAACTTTTTGTTAAGTGACACACGAAGTTTATTTATATTGTAGTTGTATTTAGTATAGGTTAGTGTCATTTGTTGGCCTTCCTTTAACTGGTAATATACAATGGTTATATAGTGACATATAATATCATTTATTGGAGAATTTCATCACAATTGGACCCAAGAGTTTGATAGCTAAGTCACTTCTCGGAACATATATTTTGTTCTAGGGCTTTTGATTACTGAGAAGGATTAAAGTCCTAAAATGATCTAAGTTTAATTTTACCAGCAAATGCATCACACTGAAGAGTTTGGTAAAGTTTAAACTAAACGAAACTATAGTACTATGAAACTATGGTATGTAATTATAATTTTATTCATATTATTGAAAATACTTGCATTTCTGTACATACTGCAATATGTCTTTTGGTAGATTAGTCTCATAAAAAAAGAACACACGTTCGTAGGTCTCTAAGTGTGCCGACTGGCAGAAAACAAAACCCTACATTTTATTTTATCCCAAGCTAGCATTTGTTTCAATCTCCACCAGAAAGATGAATATAGTTCGCTAGTCCTAAGTAAGATTATTTCAATAATTTTATAATTCGTTATACGTGCATTTTCTACCTAAAGTTATCAGAAAACGGTATCGTATCCTAAATATTTTGTCTCTGACTGTTGAAATATGTGGTTATACAAATTATTTATCCAACATTGATAAGTGTAATCCTTTAACCTGATTGACTACCCATGTAACTTTTACTGATATTAGAAAGTTTGTCTTGGAGGTAAAAATCAGATTTCTGCACAATTATCGGTGGAATGCGTAGCACATAACAAAGAACAAACTTTGACTCAATATGTTGAAGGAATTATAAACCGATCTTTTGCTTTTTCAAAACAAAACAAGAGGTAATCCTCAATAGCCGCGGCTGTAATTAGATCTCAAATTGGTCAAGAGATGGAGCTATGAGCTAAAGGTTTGTACTTAAAAAAAAACAAAAAAACTCAGAGCCATTCTATGAGCCGCTATGCCGCGGCTAAAAAGAAAGTCCTCGTTTTGTGGGTATGGACTATTGCTGCTTTGGTGAAAGATGTCTCGTGTAAACAAATGTAAATTCGTCTACGAAGATATGAATACGTCTGTTTATTGTAATGAAATAGTTCAAAAAGTAATCTTATTGTAAATACAAATATTCAAAATATTTTATCTTCTGAGGCTCTTTGGTGATAAACCTTAAACAACGGTACACTTGATCGTTCTTTGTAAAGGTACTTATTGTAAAGGCAGTCTAATAATTAACAGTTAAACAATCAACCTAAACAGCCATTAAAATGTATTAAATCTAAGTGAGTATGTATATATATATATATATATATCAAATATATCAGTAGAGTTTTTATTCATATATCACATTAAGTTTCCAAGCTACAAAAAGCAAATAGAATTAATTGACGAAATAACAAATTAACAATGTCTAGATAACGTGAGTAGTAATTCTCTATTTGTCTTCATTCTATAGTACTTAGTTATAATTTTCTTCAGTTTAGGAAAATGTAAAGTAAAATGTAGTATCTCAAACTGTATTTATTATTACAATATCTAGACATTTGAAAGAGTAAAACTGAATACTCACAACGTCTACAAATAAGTCTCCAATCTTCTGTTTGCTATCCCAGTAAGAAATTCTTTGGCGAACAGACTCCAAAAAACTCTCATGATGTGTGAGGATTTCTGGTATTTTGTAAAACATTTCATCCACCAGGTTTTTATCAACTAGGGCTGCATTTTCTGTACTTTCTAAAGGCTTCATGTATTTCTGAAATAGCAGTCGACAAACAACTATTAAATGTTAACGATGATATAACGATATAATTACTACGATTATTTGATGTAAATTTTATATCAGTTAGCTCTTTTAATTCATTAACACAAGCAGTGTATGTTTTAATAATTCGATAAATCGAACTTGAATTTAACCTTTTCTAATTAGTTTAGAGCTTCAACAAATATTGTTGGCACAAATACATTATTTGGAATACTTAGATAATACAATTGAAAATATTCTAAACTATAACTATCTATAAAATTATGTTTGCTTCTTTAAACTCAAAGCTATAAAATGCGTTATACCCACTCAAATTTACCGCCCAGATGTTGAAAGGTATAAGCGTATGAAAAAAGATACCATGAAAAATTGTCTTTTATGCATTAAGTCTTCAACTAAACTGACATGATGTGTCTAAACCATAACACATAGCAATCACTAGACTCGAACTAAACTAGTATATTAAAAATCACAACAACAAACAATAGTTGTATTTACTGATTGAAGAAGGAAAAATTTAATTTATTATTTTTTAATTAATTGATACCAGTTTGATTTTCACACTCTGAATACATTACATTGATAACTGTAGATTGAAATTCGTTAGATTGTTTTAAGTCAATCAATTTATCCGGCCTGAAATTAGCTAATAGATTTAAGCTAAATTTCAGTTTTATTAAAACAAATATTTCGCATATTTATTAAACACTTTACACACACTGTCTACACTGTCATCAAATCGTAAGGTACTAACTATATTACAATCATTCTCAATATAGGTTGATAGCAACGATCACTCAGTTGTTACTTAAATCAAACTTCTATGAGCTATAATGATCCACATTAATTTTTAGATACATTAATCTAACAAAAAAAGAATGATCGTTTGAACAGCGCTACCTATGTCCAAAATCGTTACATAATCTTTAAAGTATGACAATTGTGGCAGGTATACATTATACCAGAAAGTCGCTATAAAATATAATAGTGCATAGCAAGAGGTATACATTATACCAGAAAGTCGCTATAAAATATAATAGTGCATAACAAGAGGTATACATTATACCAGAAAATCGCTATAAAATATAATAGTGCATAACAAGAGGTATACATTATACCAGAAAATCGCTATAAAATATAATAGTGCATAACAAGAGGTACACATTATACCAGAAAGTCGCTATAAAATATAATAGTGCATAACAAGAGGTATACATTATACCAGAAAGTCGCTATAAAATATAATAGTGCATAACAAGAGGTATACATTATACCAGAAAGTCGCTATAAAATATAATAGTGCATAACAAGAGGTATACATTATACCATAAAGTCGCTATAAAAGATAATAGTGCATAACAACAGGTATACATTATACTATAAAGTCGCTATAAAAGATAATAGTGCATAACAACAGGTATACATTATACCAGAAAGTCGCTATAAAATATAACAGTGCATAACAACAGGTATATATTATACCAGAAAGTCGCTATAAAATATAACAGTGCATAATTCACGTGGATTATCTGTTAGCGACTTAACAA